CTTGCATTGGTGAGAAGAGCTGAGTCTATCAAAGTTAGTCATCACACAACATGGCTGTAACTGTGTACAATGTTCTCCTGGTTCTACTCACTTCACTCAGCATCAGTCCATATATGTCTTTCCAGGTTTTTCTGAAGTCTGCTTGCTCATCATTTGTTATAGCACAATAGTATTCCATTGCATTTATATACCACAACTTGTTCAGCCTTTCTCCAATTAGTGGGCATCCTCTCAGTTTTCCCTTGGAAATTCTGGAATAGGCCTCATTCTCAGGGCAGCTTTGGGAGGGGGCTTCTCCTAATATATCCGCTTCTCTGGTTCCAAGTCACTTTTGGAGATTCCCTAAATTTTTGCTAAAATCTGCCAGTAACAAGGACTTAACACAATTTAGTACAATCTCCTTAATATCGTTGTCCAGTAACTAGTTCATATGGTGAAAACCAGCCCAAATCTTATGGAACAAATCCTATTAACAACAGAGCTATAAGAGGAACACAAATTAGGAATCCATATTCACCTGAAACTTCAGAGAATTTCAGTTTTTGCATATTTCTTGCTCTTTCTGTCTTTACCTGAAACCTGTACCCAATATGGACAATGTAATCAACAGTCTGAAGAAAGAATCTTAAAAAGATCCTTGAAGACCTGACTTGTAAAAATGAGTCCTTCTGTCTTTTTATATTATCAGAGACTTAAAAATAGGAAAAAACCAACATGATTAAAAAAGTTTCTTTATAATTATTAATGTAATTTTATATGTAAAATCCTTAATCCAGTTTTGAGAACTTATTACTAAAATATACTCAAAGCCTGTATACTCCATTAGAAATGTTTAGAAGCCAAATATATATATATATGTATATATGTATACTATTAATAATCTAATATCATCCAGATTTAAAGAGAAATTACTTTTCTAATGATGTAATTGTGTCCTCTTCTGGATATCATTTTTCATATTAACAGCATTTTTTATACAATGGCTTTTCAAAATTTGCAATATAAGAAAAATTAGAAACCTAACAATAACAAGAATATCATGGATTTTTAAAAATCCCATAATACAAAACATTTTGCCAGTCAAATAATATAAATTCATTTGAATGCATTTCTGAATCCTCTTATATAAAAAAATCAACATCTATCAATTTGGCATTCTATAGTAAATTACATTAAAAAACAAGTATAGAGTAATTACACTTATTAAAAATACTAATGGTGAGCATTTATATAGCACTTATAATGTGCCAGGGACTGCACTAAGTGCTTTACAATTATCATTTGATTCTCACAACAAACCCTGAGAGGTAGGTGCTGTTATTATCCCATTTTATAGATAAGGAAACTGAGGAAAACAGAAGTGAAATGACTTGTTCAGGTCACACAGCTAATAAATTTCTGAGGCTGTATTTGAACTCAGGTCTTCCTGATCCATGCAGTTTCCAAGCATATATCACTTTAATTCCAGATATCAAATGTATTTTAGCATTAAGTTCTTTTTTTTTTTTTTTTTGCTTAGGCAGTTGGGGTTAAGTGACTTGCCCAGGGTCACAGAGCTAGTAAGTGTCAAGTGTTTGGTCTGAGGCCAGATTTGAACTCAGGTCCTCCTGACTTCAGGGCCTGTGCTCTATCCACTGTGCCACCTAGCTACCCCAGCATTAAGTTCTGATTTACCACAATTATCCTAATATGTGAACACTTGTCGATCAATCATTGCAGTTGTGTTAGACTCTTTGTAACTCAATTTAGGGCTTTCTTGGCAAAGATATTGGAGCTTGTCTGCCATTTCCTTCTCCAGCTCATTTTAGAGATGAAGAAACTGAGGCAAACAGGGTGAAGTGACTTGCCCAGAGTCACACAGCTAGTAAATGTCTGAAGCTGGATTTGAACCCCTGAAGATGAGTCTTCCTGACTCCAAGCCCAGCACTCTATCACCATGCCAACCCAGCTGCCAGTATGTGAGAACACATCTCATTGTAAATGAGACCACATTATGATCTTGTTTCAGGACAAACCAGCTAAATCAAATCTCAATTTACAACAAATGGTAACATTGAAAATCTCAGTTTTCCCAAGGACCATAATCTTCGAACCAACTGCTTTCAGCTAGCTCACCTTCAAAGACCTGGTGGCAGTCTCACATTCCCATCACCCTCTTTAGGATCCCATGAGGCTCTAATGATTTGTATGTCCCTTTCCAATGGTCCTTCAAGGACAGATTGCTGCAGATTTATTTCTATGGTTTCTATTTGGTAAACATTATAATTTGATAAAATATTGTCTGTCTGAAATTAACATGCATTTTCCCCAGAAGTTTCTCATATCTTTATCTGGATAGAATCAAAACCTCCTTAAACTTCTTTCCAAAACTCCCAAACCCTTGACTTTCCAACCCTCCCTTTCAGTCAGTGAAAACAGACTCCAGCTTTAACTCTCCACCCATTCTCCTTCTATCTCTACTTATTTAAACTTTCCTGTGTTTTTTTTCTTTTCAGTGGACTTTGATTAAAGCCTACCAAGTTCAAAATTGACCTCTCATTTTCATTCTGATTCCTCACTTTGCTTTACCTTTATTGCTTTTCTTAAATCCATCTCATCTTATTTCCCAATCACATTCTAGTGTTAACATTTCCTGTATGGATTTTCTTACATAATGCCAATTAACTGCTCTGCTTTTACTTCTTCAGTTGTATAGTCTATTTTAACTCTGGTGACTTTTCTACTAATTTACATAAACAAATTATGTTAAATCATTTTGAACTAACTTCAGTCCTGCTTATTCTTTAGCAGGTAAAATCACCACCTATTAGAACAAAATGCATCTGTCACCCTCAAGAAAAGGGGAGAGAGTAAACAGAAGTATGTGTGTGCCATTTACTCTCTTTATCTCTGCAACCTGGCCAGAGTTGTGAAGGCAGTGAGAAAGAAAGAATCTTGCACTGAACTCCCACTAACTAAAAAGGACAGTGAAAGTTAAGTCTTGTGAAGGCAGTGAGAAGGAAAGAAAGTTGTACTAGACTCCAACTAATTAAAAAGATCAGTGGAAGTTAAGCTCCTGCTCAATATGTTTTTGTTTTTTGTTTTTCATTCTTGAAAAGAACTATGATATCAGAGAAGCAATGCCATGACATAGAAGTGAATTGACCCTGCTTAATATTGCAAATAGTTGGAAAAAACGTTTTGGTGTTGAGATTCTTTAGTCTTTTCTGTGCCAAGGTTTTTTTTTAGGCTCTCCTACAGCAGTTTTTGTGAGTGGCGAGGTGCTGTTCTCACAAGTTCTCCGTGGTAAACAAAAGCTTGTGAGCACAAGAGAATTTTGGAAGTGGAAGCCCCCAACAAACCCCTGACCTCATTGCCTGCCGGTTTTCTCTAACTAATCCTAGGCTCATCCTAAATAAATGAGTGTGAGAGTAAGATATACAGGCACAAATCACCTGACAAAAGTGTTACGTATGAGTCACATAGGAATCATATGAAGGGAACTCAAAACATAAGCTTGGGTGGACCTAAAACAAGACCTGGGTGTGGGTACTCAAAGCAAGAATGCTTTGGGTGGATCCAGGACCAGAGGGAATCCAAAATTCCTCATACCCATTTCCAGCATTCCTAAAGAGTTACTGAAGTCAAGCAGACCTTTTGGATGCAAGCAGCCTCTAATCACATAAAGTTGGATCCAAGCATCATTAATAAATGAGAAATAATCACAGAGTAAGGCAGATAGGAGGAGGCAAACTAGGTGAGAGCAATGTCACAAAGACCTAGTCTAGCAACCAGGATATCTAAGAGAAGATAGTGATCAACTGTGTCAAAGGCTGCAGAGAAGTTAAGAAGGATGAAGAGTGAGAAGAGGCCATTAGATTTAGCAATTAGGAGATCACTGGTAATTTTGTAGAGAGCAATTTCAGTTGAATGATGAAGTTGGAAACTAGACTTCAGAGAGCTTAGAATCCAGTCAGTGGAAAGGAAGTGAGTGCTGATTATAGACAGTTTCTCAAAGAGTTATTCACAAAAGGGAAGAGAAATAGATATAGGATGATAATAGTAGGGATACGGGAAGAGCAGGTGAAGGTTTTTAGAGGATGAGGGCGACATGAAAGGGTTTGCAGGCAGCAGGAAAATTGCCAGAAATAGGAAGAAACTGCAGATTAGTACTAGTCAGAAAGTGGGGGTATTAGACAGGGCAACCTGCTGGAGAAAATGAGATGAAATGGGAGAAGAATGGAATGAACAGAAAGAGAGTTTTGTCATGACAAGGAAAAGGGTTGTCTTTTCATGTGAGACAAGGATGGAGGAAGAGATGGTGGGGGGAAGATGTATGAATGATATGAAATGAAAAAGAGAAAAGAGGGAACTCTGTGAGAATGGTCTCAATATTTTTGGTGGTATGAGGCAAGGTCCTCAGCTAGGAAGGTGGGAGGAAGGAAATGTCATGGAAGACTTGAGGGGGAAATGAAATGTTTTTGGAAGAGACTATATGGTGACTGGTATAATTAATTGATTAGGGAGGCTTAAGAGGATTGCCATGCTTTGGAGAGTGCCTAGTTGATATTATGGAACATAATTGTAACCCAGACAGCATGGTATTATGCTTTTCACTAGGCTCTGTTCAGAGCACAGGTAAGGTTTGAAGGCAGTAGATATGGTTGGTTGGTTGGTTGTTGTCCATCGTTCTTGAAGATGACTAAAATGACATCACTATGTTAGAATCAAGTTACAATGTGTTCGACTGTGGCTTTTCAAACCAAAAGAGCTCAAAATATTCTACTACAGGCTGGGTGCAAATAGACCATGTGAACATTTGGGGTGGATTCTCTAAATTAGCTCATCTCGTGTTTCTTTTGAATTTCAATTCTGCTTTGCTCATAGAGCGCAGCACCTTCTCTGATGAGGGCATGCCGTGCTGGGTGGTGCTATGCCAGTTTCTCTCATGTCATACAGTCAATTCCAAAGTTCTTAGGAGAGACCTTAAGAGTCTCTCTCTATCACTTTTTCTGACGAACATGTCAGTGCTTGCCCTGCGTGAGTTCTAGATGATGGAAGTAATTCAAGGTTGGGGCTTGGCAAGACATGATCAATGGTGTTAGAATAAAGGTGGGCAATGGACTCAAGTACAGAGGAAAGTATAGAAGATGATTGGTGCACCAAGGAGTCAAGATATAGGGAAAGAAGAATGTATTCAGTACAAGGCTGATGACCTGGGAAAGAATTGAGGGATGGAGGAATTAAAGGTGATGGTGAGGATAAAGAACAGGATTGGGATGGGGTGGGTGGGAAGACAGAGGTGAGGATAGACCGATAAAGGAATTTCAGAGCTCATGAACGTGGAAGTGGAACACTTATGAATGATGGCAAGATCAAGGGCATGGCCATCTGTTTCTGTGTGTAGCTGAGGTGGGGTGGAGGAGGAGGAGGTGATGAGAACTGAGTAGATTTAGGAACCATGAAGTTAGGGTGTCTGAGGGAATATTATCAATCTGTGTGTTGGAGTCCCATAATATGAGGAAGGGAGTTGGGATAGAGGGAAAGACAGTGAGCTAGTCATTGGACTTAGGGAGGAAAGAAGAATATCCTGGGTGGAGGGATGGCGGTAAATAACAGCTACCAGAATATTGATCAGGTAATAAATTTGGATTGAATGAACCTCAAAGGAGATGTTGCTGATAAATAGAGATGATGCCATGACATCAGGAGAGAGCTGGGACTTACAGGGACCAGAAAATGGAGGGAGGAGTGGAAGAGATTTAAAGTGAAAGCACACTTGTTAACTGTGGAGTTGGCATTTCCGAGAGTACAGTAGAAGGAGCAGGCAGATCTAGAGGGGGACATTTGGAGGGCAAGTTGAAGTAGAGAGAGATTGGGATATGAGAGTAAGGGAATAGGCAACTGGGGATGAGGGATGAGGTTTGTATAATAACGGTTGAGAGTTCCAGAAATATCAAGACAAGGGAGAATATGATAAGATAGGAATATGTTAACCATTGAGTAATGGGGCCAGACCAAAAAATCAATTTTTGACAAAATCATTTGAGAGAGGCAAGTTATTAGACTGTTCATAGCCTTCCTTCAAGGTCCAGCCTTAGGATAAGTAGTGATTCTGTGTTTTGTGAAGCACAGGGAATACTGCCTCACAGCAAGCAAAGTTATGGCTTGGGGGAGTCCCAATAGGAGGTAGGAGCTGGAAATTTTCTGAGGAGAGATGAGGAGGCAGTGATAACACTTCTAAATTCAATCAGCAAACATTAAGGTCTCCTCTGTGTCAGACACTGTTCTGGGATCTGAGGAAACTAGGACAAAAAAATGTTTCTGGTTTCCAATAAGATCTTCTATTTGGGAGGAGGAGATGGGAATCCTTTGGTCCCTTGGAGCTCGCCTGAGTGCCTTAGAAGGAGAAGAAAGGAATGGTTAGCTTTGGAAATTAAAATAAAATAAAACATAATAAAATAATAAAATAAAATAAAACAAGATCCTCTTGTTCCTCCTCTACTCACATTTTCTCTCTGTGACCTCATCATCGACTGATCGAAAGAAGGCATTTTAACCTGGAAAGACTTATGTGGACAGAACCAGGAGAAGATTGTACACAGTAACAGCAACATTATGCTATAATCAGCTATGATAGACTCAGCTCTTCTCAGCAATACAATGATCCAAGATAATTCCAAAAGATTTATGATGGAAAATACTGTCCACATCCAGGAAAAGAGCTGATGAAGTCTGAATGAAGATCGAAACATACTATTGTTCACTTTTTTGTTGTTTTTTGTTTTTCCTTCCTTGTGGTTTTTCCCTTTGGTTATGATTCTTTTTTCACAACATGACTAACATGGAAATATATGTAACATGATTATGCACATACAACCTATATTAGATTGCTTACTGTCTTAGGGAGAGGAGGAGGAAAGGAAGGGAGGGAAAAAATTTAGAACTCAAAATCTTATAAAAATGAATGTTGAAAACTATCTTTATGTGTAATTGGAAAAAAATAAAATATTATTAAGTAAAAAAAAAGACATTTTAGAGAAAAAGGAACCAAATCATGGTGTCAAATTTTTGGTGTGCAGTGTAGAACATCTCCTTTAATAAGACTTTAAAAAAGCAAATGAATGCCTGGATGGGGTAACAAATACACAACTCATTTATGTTGTAGTATAAACAATCTGTTTCCTATGTAACAGGATGTCCAACTTAATACTTCCTTCTGATGGTAGAAGGAGATTCCTGAGATTCTGGAGAGAAAGGAAGAAATATAGAAAAGATAGATAATGATAAAAAAACTTCAACAACATGACAGTTTGCTTGCAATTGACCCTATTTACTTCCATCTATATATGGACAAAAAAGGAACTCAATATTTTTGTGCCAGGTGCCAGTATAAGTCCAACTTGGCAGGAACATTGTCCCTATGTGTTAATACACCAATACTGATTCTTTGTAGGATTTATGAATTTTTGAAAATTGGACTGACTCCACTCCTAAAGAGCCCAGTGGCCCAATGTGAAGAATCCTGTACTCAAAGGACCTGGATTTGAATTCTGGTTCTGTTGCTAGTTTTATCTGTATGACCTTGGAAAAATCACTTAATATTTGAGCCTCTGTTTCCTCATTTGTAAATTCGAGGGGCTTGGAATAGCCAGCCTCTCCTGTTAGTGCATTTCTTAATTTGTTACCCTATGATTCTATGATCTATACAAGTCATTGATAGAGGTCAGGGAGATCTGGGAGCCAATGGAGAAAACATCTCAACATACAGTTATTGTTATTTTATGTGCTAGTGCTCGGAGCTGGGAAACACAAAAACAAGGCAGTCTCTTGCCCCAAGGAGTTTATCTACTTGGGAAAATGGTGGTGGTGGTAGAAATCTCTTGATACTTTTCTTAAGATTCTCATGCAATTGTGTCATTGGCCATAACCAGCCCTTGGGCTAGAGGTTAACCACTACTGCCTTAAAAGAAGAAGAAAGGAATGATTAAATTTGTCTAGTGAGAGATTTAAAAAATAAAGGACTAGAGTTGTTGTTTGTCCTTCATTTTTGAAGAGGACCAATGATATCATGAGGTGATGTCTTGACTTGCATATGAATTGGATTTAAATGAAGCAGAGTTGCAAAAAGTTGTCAGCCTCACTCTATCTTACAGAGTCATCTAAGTCTAGTGGCAGGTCAAAAGTCAGGACAACTGGTGATGGTCTGGGATGCAGTGGATGATGACCTTGATGTCTTTGATGTCTGACCAAGCTCTAAGCCTTCCACAGCATCTACCTCAGCCTCTTTCTTTTGGCTGTTGTTGGAACAAATTGTTCTCATCCACCCATTCAGGTAGGAGTTGAGGTAGTCTTCCCATGCTTGAGGTAGACATCCCCTTAACTCACTAGTTTGAGGCCTGCTGGTTACCCTCAACCTGTTTTAGCCCATCTGCTGAGATGGTTTTACCAGGCTGTGGCTGTTGTGCATGCTGTATAGCTTTTTGGAGCCACTGGTGAGAGCTGGGTGACCAGTTGGGACACCAAAAGTGGATGAGTAGCCTTGGCAAGCCCTCACACCAGAGGTGTAACACCCCTCACACCCAAAAGGACTAGACTAGTAATTGAAGAAAAAGAGAATCAAGCCAGGATGTACATTTTCCAGGGTCTTGTCTCCTTTAAGTAGAAAAGTAAACAATGCTTAGATGAGGTAACAAACACCCACCTCTTTCATATTATGGTGTAATAATTCTGTCTGCTCAATAAAAAGTGGCTGGCAAGAGATCTTTATCTCTTTTGAATATGAAAAAAATAGTTAAAGACTTCCAGATGAATCCCAGGATTCTGCACCCTAGGCTTATAGAAGGTCAGGAGTGGGGGCAAAAGTATAGTTGAACTTAACTGGGTATACGTAATTATGTGGATGGGACCCTGGGTTTTCAAAACCTCTGCACAAGCTTTGGGCACTTTAAATTTAGGCCTAGGGATGGATTGAATAAGTTTGGATATAGTCTTAACAGTTCTCAGAGATTGCCTCCCAGTTCATAGAGCGGTTACGGTGTTGGTTAGAAGGAGTGAAGGAATTACAACCAAGAAAATAAAGGGTCCTTAAACTATTGGCACATCGCGTAATTAGACAGTTTTGTGTGCTCTCTTAGGAAGTAAGATCATAGGTTCATAGATTTAGAACAGAGATTTGGAACCTTTTTTTGGGTCTTTTTTTGGTCTTTGGCAGTCTGGTAAATCATATGGTCTCTTTCAAAGAATAATTTTTTCTACTTCTTTATTCTTTATTTTTTCATTACATGTAAAATATTTAACATTCATTTTAAAAATTCCTTTCTTCCTCGTTCCTTGAGAATGCAAGCAGCTTGACATAGTTATACATGTAGTCATGTAAAACATATTTCCATATTAGCCTATGTTGTAAAAGAAAATACAGGCAAAAAAAAACCCAAGAAAAAATAAAATAAAAAAGTATGCTTTGATCTGCATTAAGACTCCATCAGTTCTTTCTCTGGAGGTGGATAGCATTTTTCATCACAAGTCCTTTGGAATTGTCTTGGATCATTGTATTCCTGAGAATAAGTAAGTCATTCACAGTTAATCATTGTACAATATTGTTAGTGTGTACACTGTTCTCCTGGTTCTGCTCACTTCATTTTGCATCAGTTCATGTAAGTCTTTCTAGGTTTTTCTGAAAGCAATCCTTCTTGTCATTTCTTGTAGCATACTAGTATTTCATCACAGTCATATAACACAATTTGTTCAGCCATTCTCCAATTGATGGTCATATACCCCTCAATTTCCAATTCTTTGTCACTACAAAAAAAGGCTGCTATAAATATTTTTGTACATATATGTCCTTTTCCTTTTGAAAAAAATCTTTTTGGAATACAGATCTAGTAGTAGTATTGCTGGGTCAGAGGGTATACTGGATTTTATAGCCCTTGGGCATAGTTCCAAATTGCTCTCCAGAATGGTTGGATTAGTTCACAACTCCACCAACAGTGCTTTAGTATCTCAATTTTCCCATATGCCCTCCAACATTTGTCATTTTCCTGCTCTCTAGTGTTTTTCATATGACTCTAGATAACTTTGATTTCTTAATCTGAAAACTGCTTGTTCATATCTTTTGACCATTTATCAATTGGGGAATGATTCTTATTCTTATAAATTTGACTCATACATATTTGTATGAGTATGTACATTGACTCTCTACATATTTGAGCAGTGAGGCCTTTATCAGAGAAACTTGCTGTAATTTTTTTCATAGTTATGATTATTGTGTATTTCCTTCTATCCTATTTTCTTTCATTTATCTCTCTCCTTTTACCCTGTAGTTTCTCAAAAGTATTTTGCTTTTGAGCTCTGCCTCCCCCAATCCAGCCTATCTTTAATCGACCCCACCCCCTTCTGTTACCCCCTTCCCCTCCTCCTACTTCCTTGCAGGGTAGGATAGATTTCTATACCACACTGAGTATGTATGTTATTCCCTCTTTGAGTCAATTCTGACGTTGTTGTTGTTTGTCCTTTTTGCTCAAAGAGGACCAAAATGACATCATGATGTTGGAGTCAATGTACTGTGTGTCTGGTTGTGGCTGATCAGACAATATGAGCTTGAAAGACTCTTACCACAGGTTGGGCACAAATAGTCCACGTGATCATTTGGGAGGAAAATGTCTCTAAATCTGTGCATCTCACGTTTCTTTTGAGCTACTACAATTCTGCTTTGGTCATAGAATGTAGTGCCTTCTTTGATGTGGCATGCCATGCTGGACAATCCAGTGCCAGTGTCTCCCATGTCTCACACTCAATATCAAAGTTCTCCACAGAGATCTGGAGAGTGTCCTTCTATTTATTGCTTCTTCTTCTCACCGTGTGAGTACCTGCCTTGTGTGAGTTCTTCACAGAATAGTGTTTTAGGCAAATGTATGTTTGATATTTGAACAATGTGGCTAACCCATTGGAGTTGTGTTCTCACCTGTAGAGTCTGAATGCTTGGCAGTGCAGCTTGAAAAAGGACCGCAGTGTCTGGTATCTTATCTTGCCAGGTGATCTTCAGAATCTTCCTAAGACAATTCAAATGGAAGTGGTTCAGTTTTGTAGCATGGTGCTGGCATACTGTCTGGGCTTCACAGGCATACAACAATGAGGTCAGCACAGTGGCTCTATAGACCTTCAGTTTGGTAGGCAGACTAGTGAACTTATCCACAGCATTCAAAATTTATGCATTTGCTGTAACCAATGGTTCCATGTATGGATCGTGTGGCGTTGACTGGTGGAGAACCTCTATTTTTCGATGGTGTTTGGCTAAAGTTAGCATAAGCAGCAGAGAATCAATCCATACTTTGTTCTCAGACTTAAAGACTGCATTGAGTACATAATCATCTGGAACAAAAAGTGGAGCACCAATTTCTTCCTTTTTAGTCTTGGCTTGTAGCCTTTTCAAGTTAAATAATTTACTGTTAGTGTGATAGTTGGTCTTGAGCCATTTTAATCCTTGATGAAGGTGTCTGACAGCATCACTGAAAACATTATGCTAAAAAGCATGGGAGCAAACACATAGCCTTGCTTCACTCCAGGTTCATCTTCCCCTTCGTTGTATAAGCTCTTTCATGTCTCTTTTATGTGAAATAATTTATCCCATTATACTTCTCCTTTCCCCTTTCTCCCAGTGCATCCCTATTTCTCACCCTTTAATTTAATTTTTTAAGTATCATCCTATCATAGTCAATTCACACTCATGCCCTCTGTCTATGTATATTCCTTCTAAGTGCCTTAATAATGATAGGGTTATTGGGACTTCATCTTCCCATGTAAGAATCTAAACATTTTAACCTTTGAATTCCTCATGATTTCTCTTACTTGTTTATCTTTTTATGCTTCTCTTGAGTCTTGTGTTTGTGGCATGTAGAATTCCAAGAGACAAAGTTTCCAGGTATTAAAATCAATTTATTAATTAGGGTAGCCAATAATCAATAAATTGATGGTCAATGATTTCTCTTGGTAATCAAAGATGCTAAGGGAGAGTCTCCCACCAGTATAAATCCAGGTCTGTCTTCCTGACAGCAAATTACTGGGAACTCCCCTAGGAAGAGAAAAAGCAACCCTGATTGGTGGATATTACGTGAAAAGATGGGCTAAGAGTTCTTAATAACTTCTACTGAGTACATGGATTGGTCATGAGACCTAGTAGCCGCTAGCAATTTGGGCAGGGAAAGCCATTTCAATCTTGAGTTCTCTGGCTAATTTTCTCCTTCATGAGCCAGGCTGCCCTAAACTCTGATGAAGGGAACAAGGACAGAAGCTCTTCCCTTTGGGGCGTGTGTGTGTGTGTGTGTGTGCGTGCGTATGTGTATGTGAATGAGGGATCAAACTTAAGCTGCCTCCTATTTATAAACAGAGCTCAGATTCCCAATTGGGTGAGGCCCAGCCCAACCTAGTTAATGAACAGATGCCTTGAGAAGAGTTGGAGTGAGATGACATTCCTTAGCTAGAAAAGAATATGACAAATTAATAATCAAATGATACAGCATTAAAAATTAATTTTCCTCATAATTTGAAAGTCAAATTTTCTATTTAACTCTGGTCTTTTCATCAAGAATGTTTGAAATTGTCCTCTATTTTATTAAATATCTATTTTTGCCCTGAAGGATTATACTCAGTTTTGTTGGGTATGTGATTCTTGGTTGTAATTCTAGCACCTTTGCTCTCCAGAATATCATATTCCAAGCCCCTCTGAACCTTTAATGTAGAAGCTGCTAAACCTTGTGTGGTCCTGATTGTGACTCCATGAAATTTGAATTGTTTCCTTCTGGTTGTTTGCAATATTTTCTCCTTGACCTGGGAGCTCTGGAATTTGGCTATAATATTCCTGAGAGTTTTCATTTTGCGATCTTTCTCAGGAAGTGATTGGTGGAGTCTTTCAATTTCTGTTTTACCTTTGCCTTGATAATTTCTTGAAAGATGATGTCTAGGCTCTTTTTTTGATCATAGCTTTCAGGTAGTTCAATAATTCTTAAATTATCTTTCCTGGATCTGTTTTCCAGGTAACTTGCTTTTCCAATGAGATATTTTACATTTTCTTGTATTTTTACATTATTTGAATTTGTTTTATTTCTTGATGCCTTAAAGAATCATTAGCTTCCACTTGCCCAATTCTTAATTTTTAAGAAATTATTTTCTTCAGTGAGCTTTTGTATCTCCTTTTCCATTTGGCCAATTCTGCTTTTTAAGGAATTTCTCCTCTCCAGTGATTTTTGTGCCTCTTTTTACCATTTGGCTCATTCTGTTTTTTAAGGTGTTATTTTCTGTTATTTTTTGTGCCTCCTTTAACCAAGCTATTGACTCTTTTTTTTTCATGATTTTCCTTCTCACTCTTCTTTTCCCAATTTCCATCTACCTCTTTTATTTAATTTTTAAAATCCTTTTTGAGCTCTTCCAGAAATTTTTTTGGGGGGGGCCTGAGACTAATTCATTTTTCTCTTTTTGAGGCTTTGCATGTAACTGTTTTGACTTTGTTGTTTTTTTTTCTTCTGAGTTTGTGTTTTGACCTTCCCTGTCACTATAGTAACTTTCTATGTTCAAGTTCTTTTTTGTTTGTTCATTTGTTTATTTTCCAGCCTATTTCTTGACTTTTCACTTGTTAAAATTAGGCTCTGCTCCTAGGGTGGAGGGAGCACACTGCCCCAAGCTTCCTGTTTTTCATGCTGCAGTTTTCTGAGCTAGTTCCAGGGGTCTGTAAGTTTTCTGTACTTCCAAGGTGGCATGGTCTAAGGAGAGGTATGGTCACTGCTCTCCTGGCCTGTGCGCTGTCTGTGAGTGACCACAAGCATTCTTTTTCACCCTAGAACTGTTACCAGG